TTATTTTGTGAATATTTACTATAATTCTCGTCTTTATTCAATACACTCCATTTGATGTTGATTATTTACAGGAAGTTAATTAAAATCCAGATAAAACATGCTTTGAAATAGATATTATATACATGTGCTATATAATTGTATCAAATCTAATTATGTTACCTGTCAGGTGATAAGATATACCTATGAAATTGAAAATTTATATCATTTAATTTACTTTTGAAGGTATACTTTCAGGCATTTTATTCATGTTTGTTTTTGTATCTTTCAGTTGGTTTAAATGAATTTTAACATAGGTAGGCTGATACTTTTCCCCAAGAAACAGGAATTGAACAGTTAAAATGGAGGATGTTCTTTTAGTAAAGTCTTGATTCTGATGTACTAATGACAAATTTTGTAACATGAATATTTGGTGTTAGCAAGGTTTCAGAATTAGGATATTTTGGTCTATGTCGTCCTGTAAATCTGCCTGTCAAGGCTTTTATTTCACAGTGCTGTTGATTAAAAGTTTCATTAATAATTGTACCTTGTGTTTGATTGGGTACTCAATTCTATGAAAATCACAATATTTTAATGAAAAACAATCAGAAAATCCTCAAATCTCATTGGCACTCATACCACATCTTCTTATTTCTAGCCATGTTATTAGAAAAAACCAAGTTTGGTAAATCTGCCCATATGTAGATATTGCTCTTATAAAACAGTTTCTTTGGATATTTCAACACAAAAACTTATAATTTTTTTTAACCATAAATGGTTTCCCAGGATAAACTTGAGTAACATCCATTGTAATACAATAACTTCTTTGGAATTAACTCAGTGTTATTGCTTTTTTGTGTGTAAATCACAACAGAAAATGTAATGATAATCTGGTAAACTAAGAAAATTCAAATATAAAGGATTGATTTTCATTGAATTGAAGTATTATGTCACTCCAAAATACCTCTACGAAGCTCGACACTATATATGTAATAAATATGGATATGGTAAATGTCAATATTTGAACAGTGGGATATCTATATTTTTTGAATGGAAAATTTCACATAATTCATAAGCATATACATCCTTATGAACATGGAATTATCTTCTTTATATTAGTATAGTAATTTATTGTCTAGCTGATATATATCTTTGGAATTAATCCAAACAAAAGCAGCATTATTTTCTAACATGATCAGTTACGAAAAAAAAATAGAAATGTTTGGATGGTTGGATTTACAAGAAGAGCCATTTAGCATGACTGAAATGTAAATGTTATTATGGCCCATCTCCTGCACCTAAATATATCTGGTTTATCAAATAATACATCAAAATTAGCTGTGGAACTTTGATGCTTTTTAAAGTGCTATGCTTTATCTTGCTCTGTTGCTTCTCTTCAGTAGAAATATGGTGAAATCTGGACCATTAAAAGCCAAAATCTTGAATTAATTTGTACAGTGTTTTCGTTTGATAATGATCAGATTCGTACAAAAAAGTAATAACTGACAGTATTGGTGTCGGATCTATGATAAGAGTTTGTTAATTATATTGACTTCTTTTTAGACCATGGACACTTTAATTGCTTGACATTCTGTACCATCACCTGTATGTATGTTGTTGATGGCTTATATATGTTGTGTCATCTGTACTATTATTTGTCTATTTGTCTTTTTATTTTAGGCCATTGCGTTGTCAGTTTGTTTTCGATCTATGAGTTTGAATGTCCCTCTGGTATCTTTCATCCCTCTTTTATATGACCTATAGATGTCTTTTGATCTTTCTGTGTTGTTGGGTTGCTATCCCATTGACATATACCCACATAAAGTGGTGTTTTTTGCATGAATAGAAAAGGTAATCTTTCTTTTGAAACTTGATTCAGGATATATCCTGTTTTATATTTGTCTTTGATTATCCAGAACATGTTCAAACTCTGCAGATTAAAAAACTTTTTTTTTCATTTCTTTGCTTCTTGATACCTACAATGACACATATTTGTTTTACAATATAATTCCATTTAAATGATTGAGGTTACTTTAATCAAAGTTAATCATGCACACACAGAGAGACAGCCCAGTGTAAACTAGATTAAATGTTTATCTGTAATCTAGTATAAAGAAAAAAACTAAAGTTAAATTTTAGTCAATTTATGGAACATTTTATGTATTTTTAAGTCATTTATGTATATGAATTCCTCAAGGAGATCTATGATAATTACCAGATTTAATTGATCAATTATCCATGATAAAAGTGAGGATTATTTTTACCTTGTAGAATTTAAATAATTTTGTTTACATGTAAAACATTGACAATTCTTGACATTCAAATGTTTGATTGACCTTTGAGTAAATGTTAGAATAAGTATACATTAGTGTCTTTAACAAACAATAAGACCAAATATTCTTGACTTTTTGAAACTTTAAAATTAGGTAACATTATAGTTCCTTAAGTTTATTTGCACTACTATGCAATGTGGAAATGAGAAAACAGATCATTCAAATGATTGATAACCGTAATTATTAGATAAATGTTCAACAACAATAATAAAGTCTTGATTGTAGATATGATGTAAATTCATTTATTATTATTATTGCAATTTTTTAAGATAAAATATGCTAGATTATTTTTTGCGATTTCAGGAAAATCTGCATAAAGATGCATGTGTCAGATATCAGAATGCAAGTTATTATTGCGATACTCACCAAGTCGCATTATTCACATTAATAAAAACCTTGCAATGATTTCTGAATTTACAGTAGTCTGATATTTATTTACACAACTTCTCTAGACTTGGGATGATTTTAGAGCTTACCAAGTCAAATTAAAAAGACTAAGTTGACCTCTAGATGGCTTATTTTGCTTTTAGGATGTTGTTGGGTTGCTTTCTCATTGACTTATACTTCATGTTTACTCTTATATATACATTTAGGCCACAATGCATCATTATTGTAGTGGTTGACTCATCTGACAGTGGCCAGAGATAAGACTATCAGATATATTTATACTCAAAATGAACTTATTTTCTTACAATATTTTCCCTTTTTTTAAAGATAAGCTGGTTCTTTGAACAGAAGAATGATTTCTATTTCTTTTATGAGGTATATTTGTAATTCAAATTACTCTTGAAATTTGTCAGATTTTACGCCTATAATATTTAATTTTCAAGACATTCAGTGATTTTTACTGAATACAGATAGCATCAATAGTTATAAATGACAAAAAAATCATTCAGGTAAATTATTGTACTTTTGTCAGAAAATAGTGAGAAATTGAAGTGACTGAACAATAAAAACCAGCTGTATTTGTCAATTATAAAATAATCTTATTATGTGTTACATAACTAACCTGTAATAGATAGGATCAAATCTGATAGGAATAGCTTTTACAGTAGGAATAATTGACATGCAAAGATATACTAGTAGACACCATTGTGAAATGTAATTATGAAACAGTTTTTTTCTGTGCCTTGATAAAAATCTGACTGAGGCTACCACACATTGTGATAAAAGTCTTGTATATGAATTTCAAAATTGTCCTAAATTTTCACCACCATCATACTGTAAATATAGATTCTACCACTGCATCAAGTGTGTTGCGATATTATCCGCTCGAGACACTTAAATTTTAGTATTTAAAGCGTGAGGCTTGCAGAGCTTTTTGAATAATTAAAATTTAACTGTTGAGAGTGGAGAAATATTGTAATACACAAGTTATAGTGGTAGAATCTGTTTCTCTTATGATTTTTAGATGATATCTAAACAAAGTTTATCTTTCCTTTTCAAAGATTTGCAGAAAGTTGTGTTTTTAATATGTGACGTCATCAGGCATGGTCGCCTCTTTTCATGACGTCACAATAGGAAATTCAGAAGAAACCAAGAAAATTTGACGTCATAATTGAATTTCGACCAAAACATTTGCCAATAACTAAGTTTTCTCTAGAGATGAGAAATATTTTTCTCACACAGAGGAAATGTGAAAAAAGCATGAAATTAGAGAAATAAATAATAAATGGTTGCATCTTTTGTGAATCAGTGACAAACCTCTACAAAGAGAGATTATTGAATAAGAGAAAGATGTGGTAATATAACATTACTTACGTAATAGAGGGTTCCTTGTTAGGAGTAAAATGTCTCCATGGAAACTGAAGTTTTTTTAAGTTTTGTCTGTTTGTAGGAATCATTTGATATTCTTACTAGCATTCAGATATAGATGCTCCCTAAAGCTCATCAAATACTGAATTTTTGAATATTATATTCATTAATATGACCTTTCATACTATAAGCAATAAATATTGGCCAGCCTTGTCTGACTTTTACATTGAATAGTACATATTTCAATCAACAAAAGATGCCATTTTCTTAAATTTATAAAAGGCTTGGAAGACAAATACTTGTATGTCTTAAGCTTGTCAGTATTTCATAATCTGAACAAGTTAAAAGATAGCAAACTGCTACTTTAAACCATTTAATTCAAACAACCATTGACAATGATATGGCTAAAAAAGGACAAATCATGGTGCACACAATATCTATGATTAAGCAAAACAAATCTAGCTAAAACTGGGGGTGAACTTGTGTCTTTATTTCCACATTTATGAAGTAAAAAAAAATAAAAAAAATATAACATCTCAGTGTGCATTTTAAAAATGCAGAAGAGAAGTATTGTTTTATTCCACCTGCAAGATCATTCTTGATTATGCAGATTGGTAAAAATCCTCTTTTATTAAGATTCTAGATAAGTATTTATCTTTTGATCAAATTTGTGGACAGGGATCAAGAATTCTATAAAGAATAATGGTCGAAATCTGTAGATCTGAGATAAGAAATTAATCTGTTAATCATATTTCTGGTCAGAGGTAAATTGGTATATACGATTAAAAAGATTTACGGGTAATTTTGGTACGTTTATAAACAGACAAGAAAATTCAAGATATTCCATATCAAGACCTTTTGTATCTATTGATATTTGTCATTGACAAACTAATGAAAAGATTTGTGTTTAAATTTGTAACCCCACAAATTATTCACCTGTAAATGTTCAAACGTAAAATATTGTTCAGTTAAACCAACACTGATTTAAAACGGTTATATGTTTAAAATCAGAAGATTTCTCCTGTCCGATTGGAATTTCATTTTGGCATGTAGATATTAGGAGACACAAGTACATGTAAATAACAGGAGAGATTTTGTATGAATCCTTATCTTCTTACATATGCTAAATTAATTTTTTAACAAATGTGACGGGATTTAGGTTTCAATCTTGACTGAGTTCTTCGATAGTTTTATAATGGCACTGACGGAACATTCATGTCAACATTGGAAATCGTGAAGGCCTTCAGGATAGTTGGATCACTTTAGCAAATACACAAATTATATGTATTGGAGTACTATTTATTTACACAATAATACAAAATATTTAGTGAAAATGTGAGAATCAATATAGAATAGAAATTAAATCACCGATTTTTTTCTATAATAGATAGGATTAATAGCAGTTAATTGGATTTTGTATACCTTCTAGTAGTGGACCATTGATCTTTGGTTGATCTTTTGAGTTATTACATTGTGAGATTTGTAGTGGTAAAATATAATTCATATCAATTCTATGGGATATTACAGCACTGTATAGTGAAAGAGATGTAAAATATTTGGAATTTTAAAACATAGACAATGTATAGATCAGTAAGTAAATTGTTTGATTTGGAAAACTTGTTGTGCATTCAGTAAATTCAGAAATTATTTATTATTGCAATTTTTGAAGACTAAACAAAAAAAATACAAGATTACTTAATGCGATTTCAGAAAAAGCTTCATACAGATATATGTATCTGATATCAGAATACGAGTTCTTATCATTGCAATACTCATACAGTCGCATTGTTCGCAGTGGAAAAAAACTTGCAATAATTTCTGAATTTACAGTTTGTCATAAGATTGTTAAGACTTTTAAAATTTAAGAATACACGTAATATTATTCCCCCCTTCTCCCCCTTTTCCTAATGATACATTATATAACATAAAAAACAAATATTATTTTCTCATATAGAGCCTTATCTATGTATCTATAGGTTAATTCATTATATATTTTGGCTCAGATCAGAGAAAAGGCACATCCTTTACAAAGAAAATAATGTGCAAAATGACACTACAGGACTGAGTAGGAGCATACAAAAAAGCTTGGAGTATTTGTTGCGAGTGAAAAAATCATAATAAGACAATTTAGACCTTTCTTTAGACCTAATGATTATGAAATTAGAAATGTATCAGTATTTTATTGACACTAATTGTCTGAACTTGCACTGAAATATAGGGGACCTTTAAACCTTCCTTATAAGTGTGTTGACAGCTAATGTTATTTACTATTATATAAACAAGAATAATAAGTTTACAGGTCTATAATAATACATAGTTATCAGCAATCAACAGGCCCACTGTTTAATATGTCTGACAAACTGATTTGTATAAAGAGTCTCACGTCTGTCACAAAAGTTTGCAAGTTGTTTGGAGACGTGTGACCTTCATGCTTACAAATATTCCATAAGTATGTGATAGAATAATCTTTTGTTGAAGTAATTTGATCAGCTGATAGTATTATACAGAATTAATTAAAGCTTCATGCTTGCTTCTCTTGAACTGCTAACCCTTCAGCAGCATCAAAGTTCAAGGTCATTATTGATGTGGTTTATTTTGCCCAATCTTTAGTTTTCTGATTAGTTTTTTATGGACTGTTGTTTTTGTGTGCATCTTTTTTCGTATGACCATTGTGTTGTCTGTTTTTCCTTGATCTTATGTCCTTTGATTGTCTCCATGGTATCTTCTCTCTGTTTTATGAAATTGAAATATTTGTAACTGAGTAAACAAAACAATTAGTAAACTGCTTGTTTTGAATTTAAAGGAGTAAACCCTGGTTTGTATGTATGTATTTTAATGTACCAGACTAGAATCTATGAAAAACATGATGATTTCAACTTTCAAATTATCAGCTTCCCATTTTGGAGCTGTATGTTTGTTTATTTTTCCTTTGTTTTTTCATTTGCCAAGGTTTTTTCTGCTTTTCTTCAACTTATGTTCTTTGATTTTCTCCTTGGTATCTTCTGTCTTTCTTATGAAATCTGCAATTATAATGTAACAGGATGCAAACTAATTAGTAAACTGCTTGTTTTAAACTTCAAGGAGTAAAACCATGGCATCTCTGTATTTATATTTTTACCAGACTATTTTGGTAAAAATGTGCTTACTGTAAATTCAGATATTATTGCGTGCATTTATTTTTGCGATTTTTCAAGAATTGACAATAATGCAAGATTAATAATTGCGGTATGAGGAAAATCTGCATACAGGTATATATAACAGATATCTGAATGCGAGATCTTATTATTGTGATAGTCACTCAGTCACATTATTTGCATTGATAAAAATCTCGCAATAATTTCTGAATTTACAGTATTTCATGTAAAACAGTGATGATTTTAATTATCTTTTAAAATGTCAACTTGATTTCCCTTTGCCATTGTAAAACTGTCTAAGTACTATTCTTTCAAGGTTTCAATGTTATTTTTACAATCAATTAAGTAACACAAATAAAAACTTGAGGAACACTTTATAAGAAGTATTAGAAGTTCTCAGTCTACAAGATTTATCCATATTGCTTTATTGTATATAATCCTTACTACAAACAAGATCTTATAAAGGTTTATATAGTTTTGTACTCGCAGAAAGAAAATGAACTTGACCCTTGGTGTATGTTTATTTTATTTATACAGTAGACAAATCAAAGGGCTTAGTTTGAAAATTGAATCCTGACTTTTTCTTAGTGTTTGGTATTGTATTCAGTGAGGTATATCTTGAAATGTATTAAAATGGAATGATTTTGTAAATACCTAGTAAATGGAAAAAAATATATAAAGTGTTACTACCTACATACTAGTATCAAGTAATATACAGTGACCTCTAAATGTATTGGATGATTTGTGTTGTTAGATTACTGTCTCATTGACCTTTGATCCACAGCTCCTTTTGTTCAAATTAATTGACTGTTGATCAATCAGTTAATCATGTTACAAATGGTTTTGGTTTGGGAATAGAATTGAACTGTAGGAGAAAAAAATATGAAGTTGGTATAGCTTCTATGATTCTTAAAATTGAATCAACGACTTGACTGACCTCAAACTTACATTTTTAGCTACTAATATCCAGGAATTCTTATAAACCTATAGCTAATTGATAGTCTTCAATCAATTTCTTATATTAGATAAATGTACAAGTTTAAATTGTTAATTGATTCTCTCAATCAACTTGAAACCAAGTTTACAGATATGAAAACCATGAGATTACATGTATATGTCATTGAGACAGCCATAAAACGGACAGGAAGATAAAAAGAAAAGAAACAAACATACATACATACATACATACAAAAAATGTCTATAATGTAATATCAAAACTTGATTACCCTGATTTGATTTTTATTATGATTTCAGAGTGGTAAAATGGTAGTTGAAGGGGGGAGTGTAGAATGGAGTGATGATGATGCTGTCAAATCTGGTTCTAATACAGGTAATTTTATTGTGCTTATCAGAGAGGATTTATGTCATGTAAGTTGGAGTTGAAGTATATATTTCATATGATCAACAATTTATTAGTTGGAACATTTTAGCCCATGAATAGTCTATACCTATAGTATAAAAAGTTTTACTGTTGAATGAATGCATTTCAATCTGTATGAGTTATCCACTGTATAACATTTTGAAAATGGCACTCAGTTACCAATATCACTAAGCTTTTGTGTTCCATGCAAGGTAACATAATTTGTATGCCCCCGCTGCAGCGGAGGGGACATTAAGTGTTACCCTTTGTACGTCTGTATGTACGTCCGTCACTTTTTCAAACTCAAATTCCTACCAGAAGTCACAACAAACAAATGTGTGTCAGCTACATATTGCATCCTAAATGACATGACAATTGCTATCACCAATTAGATGAAAAAACTTTATTAAAATTTTTGAAAAAAGATTTTTTATCACAATTCATTCAAAGCACCTTTTTCTGCATTGCAATACGCATGTGAGCAGAGTATCTCTTTTTAGCTCACCTTGCCCAAAAAGCTATTGCTATCACTTGGCGTCAGTCGTCTTTCATCTTCATCCATCGTCAGTTAACTTTTGCAAAAATCTTTTCCTGTGAAACTACAGGGCCAATTGAAACAAAACTTAGGCACAATCATCCTTAGAGTATGTAGTTTATAAAGAGTGTCAGATGATTCCCCATTCCAATTAACATGGTTAACATGGTTTAAAAGAGAACATAAGGGTAAAATGTAAGTTTTGTCTTTTATCATGAAAACCGCTATAGAATGAGAATATCTGACAGGGACAGATTTATTCAGAATGTAACTACTACTCATCTACACTAAAACTGTCAGGTGACAATACCCTTAAATGATGATTTTTACCAATTTCATTTATTTTTTGTTCATTATGTTGAAAACTGTAATAGATAGAGTAAAACTTTCAATGGCAAAAATTATCAGCAAAACAAGATCTTCAAATAAGTCAAACATGGCTGAAATAAACTGAAATGATTTATTTCTGACCAAAAAGTGTAGGAGATAAAAAAAAAACGGCAAAAATTGATCAACAGGACAAGATCTACAAATTTGTCATGAGATCGTTGTTTGACTCCTTACAGGAGTTATTGCCCTTTAATGATGCATATAGTTGATAAAGAAACATTGACAACAGCAAAATTTATCAGCAAGGCAAGGTGTGCAAATAGATTGACATGGCTGAAACTTCAGTTGACTTCTTATAGGAATAATTGCCCTTTAATGATAATTTTTACCCAATTTTTGCATATTATGCAAAACTTTAACAGATAGAGAGAAAATGAAAACAGAAAAAAAATTATGAGCAATGCAAAATCAACAAAAGAGCGATATGAGTCATGAATTATATTCTAGTCTTTAATGTTGGAGAGAGGCCATTGATGAAAATGTATAAAGATCCAGATGAGCGACACAGGCTCTTTAGAGCCTCTAGTTTCAGCATAACATTCAACTTTCAACTTTGTCAATCTATTATTCTGTCAGGTTCAAAACAGGAAAATAGAATTAGCAATCATTAGCCTAAATCCCACAGTGGCTTTAAAACAGTAACTTATAGGGCTTTTTAGATTATCATACAATACCTTGTACCATGTACACATTGAAATACATATTCATATTAAATATATTGACTTCAATGTAGAGTTATTTAGTTTTGCTTACTTTTTGGAAAAAGGCCAATATTTCATTTAAGTGCAAAAGTCAAATGAGATAATGGTTAAATCAAAAGCATTTTAAACCAACAAAAGAGGGGGGAGGGGGGGAGGTATTATGTCATAGAATTATTAAGATCTTTGTTACCAAACAGAAAATCAAAATCTGAAATAATTTTGCTGGCAGTTAAGGTTCCATATATAAAGAAAAGTCCTATTTTGAGGAAAATTTTATTTTGATTTGATGAAAATTTTTATCAGTTTGTATACTATCTGATACATGTCAGTAAAAATGTAAATTAATTGTGGATTTCTTTTTTTTTGTACAAATTGTGTTCAAGGACACAAGTACATTAAAAATGATTTTTGAAATGGTTTTAAAATTCTATCCCAAAATTTCAAATAAGTCGCATTTTTCTAAAATTTTGTAGTTTTTTGTTTCTCGTATTTACTTTCTTGCATTTTCAAAAATTATTTATAATTTTTCTTTTTCTTTCAGAAAGGGTCCTATATTTGGCCAATGTCATGTCAATATAGGGCTTCAAAATGTGGAAATTTTAAGAATAGTACATGACTATCTTGGTTTTGTTTATTTTGTTAATCAGTAGAATCTACCCTTAAGAGTAGCTTATTAAACAAAAATAATCCCTTTTCTCAAGAATTTGTTTTAGTATGTCTGTGCTTGCAAAATTGTTAACCACAAACAATGAAAATTGAACTGATTTAGTATTACTAAAAGCTTTATAAAAGTTTCCTTTTAAAGAAAAAATCACTAAGTCTACCAGAGTTATCTCCCTTTATTTACTATATAGCTAAGATTTAAAATACCCACTTCATATTACAGCTGACGGTCATCATTGCACATATATGATTGATAGTTCCCCAAATAGCTATATATAGAAAATTAAATTGAACTGCAGTAACTGTTGCTCAATCCACATGTCATTTTCTTTCTTTCTTTAACTTTTCTAGCGTTAAGGTGGATCATTGTTTTATATTCCCTCTGATAGAATTTTCTTATACTTTGCCAAAATGTAGATTTTACCATGCTTTTTTCAAAAATGTAATAAAAGGTATTGGTCACTGTGCTATTTTTCAGGCTACAAGTCATGCAAAACTGTCCAACTATGCATAGATTATTCAAAAAAGACATGAAAAAAAAAACCATTTTGTGAATGAAGATAGAATTTTGAAATAAAATGTCAAAAGTTTTATAATATGCTTTAAAAAAATAAAAATAAAAAATGGTGTCACCAAACTTGTTTTCTTGCTACAAGTGAAAAATGAAAATTTCATTTACATTCCTTTATTATTTTTTTTAGACTAGACCGATAGTGTACTGCTGTATTACAATCCATGATGACTGTTTACCTTTTATCTACCTTAATTTTTAATTTTTTAAAAATTTTGTACTTGCACTTTAGGTCAAAAATATGTTTAACTTGTTATAGTTTCCATGTGTATGTTACATATTCCATTTAATTTATTACAGAAGGGGATGTAGCTGATGACCAACCACCAGAAAGAAAAGGACACAAGAAAAATTTCAAAACCCCCATAACTACACTTAACATGAAGTCAGATCCTATATCAACAATACTGGATAAAATTGATGCAGAAATATCATCATTATCTCGGTCACAGTCGGTACGTACCATCTTTAATTAGGTCACAGTCAGTAGGTATCATCTTTATCTAGGTCACAGTCGGTAGGTATCATCTTTATCTAGGTTACAGTCTAGGTATCATCTTTATCTAGGTCACAGTCTGTAGGTATCATCTTTATCTAGGTCACAGTTGGTTGGTTTAATCTTTATCTAGATCACAGTCAGTAGATATTATCTTTATCTAGGTCACAGTTGGTTGGTATAATCTTTATCTAGGTCCCAGTCGGTAGGTATCATCTTTATCTAGGTCACAGTTAGTAGGTAACTAAATGATATGTTACTAGAAGATGCCTGTGAAATCGCGGTACAATTGGGCAAGTGTTGAAACAAAGAGTGCCTGTGTTTACACATGCAAGGGGGGAGGTGTCTGGACGTTGGGTGCCTGTGTTTACACATAAAAAAGGGGGAGGTGTCTGGACGTTGGGTGCCTGTGTTTACACATAAAAAAGGGGGAGGATCACTCCGACACGTTCAACGCCCATTTCATTTTTGGACAGTTCTGCACCTGAGCAAAAAGGGTGGATGTTGTTTAATTTAGCAAAATGATGCACTTACAATACAATACAGGATCCTTATAGGCCTAACTGTCCTATTTTCTATCCTTTCTTCTTACTTTCACTTGGATTTCGTGGGCAGTACGTCGACTGAGCATGCACGAAAGGGTATAAAACACGGATCGTATATTTTCTCAAAAATTGGCGTTTTCTGTGGAAAAAAGATTGTTTAAAAGACAAATTTAGGAAGAACAAAACACTACATTTATACATCATATCATAAATATTTCCGACTTTGTATGGTTTCAGAGGAGTTGTGGCTCAATGAAATCGGTCTCTTCCTTTAGTAGTATAGATATGCTGCTACAATAAGCTTCTGCAATACTATTACCAGTATACTTTTAGAACAAAGTTACCATGCTTCTACACCACCAAATCATGTTCCTCTTACTTTAACTTGAGACCAAATAAGACTTGGAGTTTTCTTTTTTGGTCCACAGCTATTGGATTACATTTTGTATTAGGAAAATCTTGTCAGAACTTCTTAGAATTTTAAAATTTGATAGGCTGAAAAGGTTTCTCATGAAAAACATCATCAAAATCAATCATTGTGTCACTATACCTTATAGACTGTAGAGAGAATTGTGTAAAAGAATCTTTTTTCAGATTATAACCAAATATTGTTTGTAACTTCATTGTACAGTTTACTTGCACATTGTTACAAAATATTAAATCTATGTGTTTGCAGCATGAAATAAGACAGAATAGCTATCTTTCTTTCATTTTCTTTCTTTCTGAAACTTTGGCATATAAATTTTTATATTTTTCAACATATATATTTTATCTGTGTTTATTCACTCATGTAAGTTCAAAGTACAAATTACAACTGACAACTGACATGATAAATGTAAAACTTCTCTGGATTGAGAAATAATAATGTTTGGAACCAATTCTATTTAATCACATTATTGTTGGAACTATTCATTTACGTTTAAATCATTTGACAGCTCTTTGAACTCTTTACACTTAAATGAATTTATTCAGAAAATTTAATATGCAGCTTTACATCTATTAACAATATTAGTTTAGTTTTATGGACATTTGATCATTTTTTGTCATTTTAATCACGGTTGATTAGGTTGTGGTTTTGGGTTATTGGAAAGATCTGCATATATTGAATCGAAATAAAGGTCAAACATACTCGGCTCACCTGGTATTTTGGTCCAGTGTGAGTTATTCTTGTCATCTGCCTATCTAGCTGTTAACTTCTCACTTTCATCATTTTCTCTATTAATATTGGGAAACTGGAACCAAACTTTGCTGGAAAAATCTATGAAAAATCCTTTATTGAAAACTCTTTAATTTATTCCAATCAGACAAAAACATGTATACGTTATTAACAACTCTTGAGTTTGATGACCTATTGTCAAAATAGGCCTTATATGTTGGATGTTGACTTTTTGCATCTATTCTATTGTCATGGTTGTGTCATTTGCATAATGAAAATAAATTTCAATATATTTTCAGAGTGCTGGCACAGGTAGTACTGTTATACATCGACCTTCAAGTAGGTCAAGGTCACCTCACAAACCAGACGATGAACTTACCAGAAGTCAGCTGGACAGACCAGGTATTAATTATTGTCATTCCTTAATACAACCCTATACAAACACTCATTTCCACAACCATGAAAATGGCGGCAAATTTATAAACAACTAATTTCCCTTCATTACTAGAAGTAAGTCTCATTGAAGAGTTAAAGGTTAGCAGCTTTAAATCCCTTTATTTTGCAAAATATATTTGATAATTTGAATTCCAGAACGACTTATCTTTTGACTTCCAATATACATGTTATCAAGATTGTTAATAAAGCTGGTAATTTGAGGGCATTGGTTATGATATTCTTATTCCATCTGGACTTATAATAAAGATTGTAATTCTGTGAAAATATATATCAATTTTGACAGCATCCTATGCAATAAATTATATACAGACTTTAATAAGCAAATCTAAATGTATGTTGAATAACATAGATGGCATTTTTTTTTTAATGTTTCTTGTTGGTTGTGACAACATTTGAAAGCATATTGAAATTTTTAAACAAACATAATTTGGGGTGAAGAAAATTTTATTAGTTTACTATTTGAAATCTTTCATTATTTATACTTAGCTTATTTTTGTCTACCATGAGATTAAAACAATATATAGAAGGTAACATTAATTTAAATAATGAATCAATTTGGTCTTCTCTGATATGTAGGTCCAATGAAAGCCACACACAAATATAATGGTAGTTACTCCGGATCATCTCGAGGTAGAGAAAGTCCTGTGGTAAATGGTGATACCAGAGTAAACGGTGTGGTAGACATATACAGTGATATGACAAATGATAGTAAGTCAAGTTAGATAACTTTTAACTCTCTCAATTTGACAGCCTGTTTGTTGTAGTCTGTAATTTGTTCATATTACCCAACATTTGTATTCTTTAAAATCTTTAATGAACAAATGTAGCATGATCAACATCAAACAAAAAACTCCATTAAAATAGGTGATAGGGACCATCTTTAAGTTGCAGGGAGGCATGGGAATTTGCTCAATGGTGAAGGCCTAATTGTGACTTGCAGATAAAAAACAAGAATATAAAAGTGCTGTTTTTCTTTGCTTTTGGTTTTATCAAGTGTATGTAAGGACATTGTTTCGTGAATTAATACAACATATTCCTTTTTTCCCCATTTTATCAATCGGATAAAATGCAAGACATAAATGTTAAAACCTTGCTTTTTACATTCAAAACATGTTAGTTTGACAAAGCACATTTTTTTTTAAGATAACATATTTTAAAAGATATGAAAAAATTGGTAATGATTCAAGAATTGGAAAGAAAAAAAGAAAAAAAAAAGTAAAATTAGATTTGATAGAAACTTTGTATTGTGTGGTTTATATACGTTAGTCTTCCATGTCACTTTACAAAACAGATCAATAGCCGTTAAAGTTTGTAATTATTGTTGAATATTCCCATTTATCATTGAGTATTACATAATCACAGAGAAGAGGCTTTACGTACAAATGATGATCATTTAAGGTCTGTGCATTTTACATAAAAAGATGTAATTTCACTTACATAAAGATTTATGTGATATTTTGTTAAAATGATTTATAAACTTTTCCTGTTTTGGACATATGTCTATCATTGAATATTGTAAAATGGAGATGTGAGGTAAATGCAATAAGAAAACAAGCCAGCTTCACCAATGACCAGTATACATTTAGGGGTCAACCTTTGTTTATGATCATATGACCACCTTATTAAGAAAACAAGCCAGCTTCACCAATGACCAGTAGACATTTAGGGGTCAACCTTTGTTTATGATCATGTGACCACCTTAATAAGAAAACAAGCCAGCTTCACCAATGACCAATAGACACCTAGAGGTCAACCATTGTTTATCATCATATGACGACCTCTATATGTTTGATATATTTCTACTCAAGTTGGAGATGGGTATACTGTTTCTCTATCTGTCTGTCTGTAACTTTATGTCACATTTTTCTTTGCTACTATCAGTCTATGAATCGTAGGATATCTAGAACCAAGCTTCAAATAGATCAGCTATACTTAGTGAAGTAGTTTCAGAAGATTTGCTTATCTTCTTTCTCTGTTGACAATGGTTTACATTTATAGAAAAATTATAGAAAAATTGCATTGCATTCATCAAAGCAGCTACAATTTTGTTCCTTCTTTAAATTTTGTATCTTATTTCTAATGTGATACTTTATGAGACTGGTTTTGTGTCTTCTTCATGTTTTCAAATTCTTTACCTGTTAAACATGACAAAAATCTATGTAAATATTGTTTAAAAAAAAACCAAAATATTGTGAAATGTTCAAAATTTGCAATTTTCATCGTTTGGTAATGCAATGGTAACTCATGGAATGTGAAAGTTTTCCCTATTTCCTGAATACCACTTAATTTAATATTAAAAGATTTGTGATCTTGTATGTTGAAAACAATCGATAATTTGTTCCATATTTTTGGCTTAATAATGCCCTTATACTTTAAGCTATAATACAACTTTGGTTTTGTGTTTGTTGTAAGTATAGAAATTTGTTACTTTTGATATTGTGGAACACACAGTTTATAATGAATACTTTATACAAGAAGTACATATTAATTGATATTTGGTCTTATTAAACTAATAGCTATGAAAACTAGAGTCTCAACTCTATTCATTTAGTATAAAATGAATTAGAAATACTCAATTGTCGTTTGATTAATACATTTGTATTGAAGTGACATGTCATATATTTCCTTAGAGGGTGTGAAATACATCGTATAAATTATAATGGTAAACTTTTGCATGTCAATTCCAAACGCAAACAAAATCATTTAAATTAAATGTAAACCGATTTCCGTGTAAACGGAATGCAACAATGAACAGGATTAGACTTAATCTGTCATTACTTAATAATGAAACACACCAATGTTTACTAATGCACGAGAATTAAATGTGAACGTATTGCTGATCTTTTGTAAAAGCACTTTTATAAGACGTAGATTTTATTACAATTTTTGTGACTTATTTGACTTAGGAATTATTGTTATGATTTAATAATGGAGAATAATTGTGTAAAAAGACATGTCAGGTTCAAAGACGGTAAATACAATACTAATTTTACTATGAAAGGAAAAAATGCACACTTAACACATTATATGTTTATAAAGTTATGCTCAAGAACTTAAAACAAAGAAATGGTAAATTGGTAGATTCCTTTTTTTTTAGCTAGCATGCTTATGCATAGATCTACCTAAATTAAACAAATAAATGAGAAAAAGAACAGCAAAAATTTGTTTTAATCTCGTACATGAACAGTAGAGCTGCATTAGTAAGACTATTAAATGACAGCCTAGTATGGTGGAATGAAATTTTTAATTGACATTGGAAAACAAAATTGGCTTCAAGAAATATTATTGTCCCCCGCGTAACGCGTTGCGGGGGACATGGAAATACCGGGCCTCTGTTCGTCCGTCTGAGCGACTTTTTATGCCCCACCTAGGGGCATTATGTTTTTAGGTCTGTGCGTCTGTTCGTCTGTCCATCCGTTTCTCCGTCTGTCCCGCTTCAGGTTAAAGTTTTTGGTCAAGGTAGTTTTTGATGAAGTTGAAGTCCAATCGACTTGAAACTTAGTACACATGTTCCCTATGATATGATCTTTCTAATTTTAATGCCAAATTAGAGTTTTGACCCCAATTTCAAGGTTCACTGAACATAGAAATTGATAGTGCGAGTGGGGCAATTATGTAATATGGACACATTCTTGTTTTAAAAGAGTTATGCCCCTTGGAAATATTAAATTTATGGAAAATGGCCTCGTTAGTGCTCTCACGGTTACAATTCTTGCCAGATTTTAATAAAACTTATACTATAGGTTAATATCAGCAATATCTCGGACAAGATGTATAATGGTGGATGATCGACTTTTTTTAAAAGAGTTATGCCCCTTGGAAATATTAAATTTATGGAAAATGGCCTCGTAAGTGCTCTCACGGTTACAATTCTTTCCAGATTTTTATAAAACTTATATTATAGGTTAAAATCAGCAATATCTCGAACAAGTTCTATAATGGTGGACGATCAACTTTTTAAAAAAGAGTTATGGCCCTTGGAAATATGAAATATGTGCAACACGTGGGACATTGGAACTCTGTTCTTTTATGTATATAGAATTTCAATAATACATTTTGACTAAATTTTTAGTAAAAAAATTACATAATGGTATTAAACCTAAGATTGCAACTGCCTCAGGCAAACTTTACCTTAGAAGGCTAACTTGGATGGAGAGTGGTCTCATTGGCACTCATACCACATCTTCTTATATCTATATAAGTTGGTTATTCTGTTTAGTGTCCTTCAATTTATAAAGTTATTGAACATTATATTTGTTTGCCTCCCAAAATTGTTGTCCTAAGTATTTATCTAATAAAACTGATTAAAAATGTGTATTGTGTACACAGAAATAAGTAAGGATATATTAATATGTTGTTGTATGAATTTGTATCTCCAGCTGTTTTCAAAAAAAGAAAAATTACTGCAGTGAAAATAGAGAAAACTTGCAGAATGAATTGTGGAAAAGATTTTTTAGTTATTGAGTTCATATGTATGTTAAATAATTTATACTGAACAGAAAATTGCCACATATCTGTACAAATGGGTTCATATAACATGTAAGGGATTAAGTCTCTTAGTTATTAGAATTTATTGAAACCGCATATATTCCAGCGTTGAGTATTAACTATACCAATTATTGTATTGTCCTTGTTTACATGGGTTGATTGACTTCAGGTTGTAAGTTGACTTTCATTGATTAGTAAGTTAATTAGTTTATCATGTATCATATTAAGTTTTACTAAACAGAATGTTACAGTGATATGTTTAAATGCCGTTTTTTTCTGTTTGAAATTGCTGTGCTTTCTGTGTACCCCTTTACCGTTATAGTCATGCCCTACTGATTTTTGCTTTCTGATTGAAAATAAATACAAAAAAATCAGTGTAACTACTATAAAAAATATTTTTACATTCTTAAAATACCATAAATCAACCAAAACTTCATAATTTTTTTAAAAATATTTCATCTATTCACATGATCAAGTTAGACCCTTTTTGGACCAGAAACTAGACTAAGACTATGCTCCTCTGCCCTTAAATCCTAGCTAGAACATTGTATAGGAAAAAGGAGATTTGGTCTTATGGCCAATTAGACAACTATCCACCAGACTGATGTAAGCAACTTTAGGTCACAAATGATATAAAGGCTTAGATAGTAACTGGGACATATCAAAAACCCAAGATTCACTGTTAAATGGAGAAAACCCATGTGTATGAGGAGGCAAAGTAGTGGTGTTTTAAATCAATACATTATCATGTTGTTATTAAGATCATATGTATAAGCAGTAAGTTTAGTTTTTTTTTAATAAAATGCATATTTTACATGTTCACACATTCTAAAGGTCTGCTAGACATTTTCTAAATTCAAGTCACGGATGATACTCAACTGGACTTGATAAGTCAGGAGCCTGTCTTTCTGGTTGTGGTTGGTTGCTATCTGTCATATTTGTTTTCCAAGTACTGTATTGCCATAAATCAGTCTGTTGTTTTTTTGTTTGAATTGTTTTTACTCTTTATAGTTTACTATACAGTATGGGTTTTGCTCATTGTTGGAGGCCACATGGTGACCTATAGTTGCTTACGTCCACATCATTTGTTCTGGTGTATAGTTCAAGTTGTCACATTGGCAATCATGTCACGTTTTCTTATTTTTACACTAACTAGAACATACCCGCGAAATCGCGGGCATTTAGAGCGTGGTTGAAAGTATGTAAACTGTTGTAGGATGAATTTTTGTAAAAGATTTTTTGACTGGAGAATTTCAGAAAAGGTATCAGAAGTCATATAGGTACTTGGGGACAGGACCCCCCCCCCCCCCCCCCCCCCCCCCCTTTTCCAAAATCCGTTATTGTTTGTTTTCTGTTTATTTATATAAATAAATATATAAATAAACACTATAAATAAAGTGAATTTGCTATTAACTATCAATTCCAAGTTTACTATCCACGGCGTTCACTGATATATTATGTAGAGAGACCTATGAAAATTATGTGTAATTTTAAACAGTCCTAAACGGAAGTTTTGTCTAACTTAAAAGTCCGTCCGATGACGGAAACAATATCCAGACGCCTTTATTTTCGTTTTCCTCCCAAAATAACCCAAACGGAATAATCATAAGCGAGGATGACAAATGCGACTATGCATGGTACCTTTAGGACACAGATGCATGCTGATTAATATATTGTGGAAAGCGACACACAAAATGAGGTCTTCTCGTTTAATAGTATAGATGTTCATTAAAAGAAAATCTTAGAAAGTATACTCCTTTGAAAGTCCAAGTAGATCCTGAATATTCACTTGACCAAATGTCCATTAAAAATCTGAGACTTTCAGAATTACTACCGAATTGTTGTTCAGATTAATGTGACTTCAGATTTTAGTTGTGTTGTAGGTTTGCTGTCTCATTGATATATACTCAACTCAAATATCTACTTTGATTCATATGAATAGACACTAACAACCAGATAAATTCTAAGATCTGTCAAACATGCTTCACTTTATGGAATATATTTCAAGACTATACTTACCAAACAATTATATTTGCTTATTATTTTTACAGCTGAAGATACACAAAGGAGAAAAGGACAAAGTGATTTAGACTCTGTTTCTGCTCATGATGTTGATGAAAAATTCAAACAAATTTTACGCAAGAGATCAGGTATTTATGTCATACCTAATAATGTTGTTTTGTAAAGGTTCAAATAGCATCTTTAACCACTTCTTTTGGTTTTTGGAACAGTTGGTTTTTTTTTATTATTATTTTTATATTTGAAATTGCACATATGGTAAATCAATGATGAATATGCCTTTCATTATTAATTAAACTTCATGGTTTTTTGTCAGCCACAAAGTGTAAAAAATTTGGCTCATCAAGGGTAAATATATGTTCATAATATAGTAAATGTAGGAATTCTGTACCCAAAGAGACAAGACCACAGAATTTGGAAAAAAAAGTATATGCCCACCATACTCTAACATGTCATGTAATGGCAGATCATATACAAAATTAAATAAAAACTTTATTATTTGTTTTGGACTTTAAAAGTCAATGACTTTGTGGTCTTATGTAGGAATAGAGTATTATAACCTTACTAATCCTCAGTTATAATTAGTCTAATCTGATTGTGTGGATTATGTGTAATAATTTGTATAAGTAATACACAAAGCAGAATTTTATTGTTGAATTTTATGCGGAGTGTTATAGATTTGATTGAATGTGTTATATTCATGGCACAAGAATTAAAAAATTTTATTGATAGGCATGATGGGTTTAGTCAAAAGTTTTATATAACAAATAAATATAAACCATTTTTTTTAAGTAATAAGCTCTGACGGAAGAGGGGGTATATGTACTCTTTAGTCTTTTGTAGACAAAACGTGCATCTGCCATACAAATTTGAATACTGTTATCTATGATGAGTTTATTTACCCCTCTCTTCATTAAAGAAAGTTTCGCTGCATTTTTCTCGGGAAACAAATCACAGCTTCCTGAAATTTGGTGTCAGGCTTCATATGAATACTGTTTGTTGAGTTTTCACATACATCACTCATCAACTTTCTATTTACCGTCTTTATAAAGTTGACATCAGACATAGTTGTCTCCTTTTATGTTATTGCAATGGTTCCACTTATGCAAGATTTGAAGGGGAACTTGATAGCAGAATTCAATATTTAGAAAATGAATATCCAGGTGTATTGTGCTTAAAAACAAAACCACAAAAAAAAAAAACATTACTCAAAAAATTAAAAACCAATTGTTCAGAGAACAATTGAAGGTCTTTCCACCCCAAATGGACATATCTAGATAGGAAAATATTCATCTTTGGTTTAAAGTGTCAATTCTGGTGTCAGATAATAGCTTCATTAATGCTGATTCCAGAAATTTATGGTTTCTATATACTTTTGCTAAAACTAAGGGAGATAAGTAGGTACTTCTGGTTGTCAAAATGATGTTACTTTTAGTTTCATTTGAACCTTATTTCACACTGATTCCAAAAATATAAAGTTTTAGTAAATTGTACATTAAAATAATGCAAAAATTGCTACTTCTAGTTTACCAAAGGTCACTTCAGGTTAACCTTCTTCAATGTCATATGTCTGTGACCCAATGTAAAAGACTTTAACATGAACCAATAAGAAGTGAGAGCAAAGGTCAAAATCTAGAACATCAAATCAAACTTTGACCTTGACCCCAATTACAAGGTCATGAAACACTGACCTCAAATCAAAAGACCCTAGGTGTCTTCTATGTATGGTTAATGAGTAATGTCACCATACAGCTTTCTTTTGAATATAGGAGGGGGAAACTCCCATTAATTGTCTACATACCCTTTTAACCAAAATTTATGTGTTACGACATGTCGCAAATAACAATTCTGTAAAAATATTTTGTCGATATCTTATAGAATTTCTGAAAATAAGTAATAACAAGCCAAAATCAAAATTAAGAACATTACCTTGACCTTTGACCTTGACCTCATTTTTCTTTAAAATTGACCAAAGACCTCCAATCAAAAGGTCTCTATCACTTATGGTTTGCCAGTTTATATCAAATACAGAAGGGGAATTAACTCTCATATTGAATATCTGTATCACTTCTGTCAAAATTAAACAAAATATCCTGAGGATATAGCGAGCAATTAGGAAAAATAAATTTGTTGGTTTCTTTTTCAGTTGCAAAGTAGTAGAAATAACAAGAAAAACAGTGTTTGGGGAGGTAACTTTACAAGGAAAAGTATTTGGTTAAGTGGTGTCAGTTTAAAAAGCGTATATATTGTACCAAATATCTAAGTGACATCTTGCGAAACAACCAAACAGCGAAAGAAAAAAATTGGGCAGAAGAAAAAAAATAATAATCAGAGCAAAAGCTAAAGTTCTTTCCACGGAAAAGTGGTAAGACCTAAAAATCAGAAAAGAATAAAAGTAAAACATAACAATGAAACTTTCAAGACAATTTTATGCTTTCTGTTTTGTCATGCAGAAGATATAATATTCCTTGAATTTTTTAATTTTTTTTATATTTATAATTTAACAGGTTATCAAGAAAAGCAGCCAGCCCCAAGCGATACAGACACAGTTAAAACAGAAGATTTCAACAGAAAATTCCAAGATTCACTGGTGTATAGTTCAGGTAACAAGCTTTGCTTTGAATTATCTCCCTTTCCCTTGTTTTGATCTGTGCAATTTATTATTTTGTTCTGATTTGATAAATCAAGGATTTTTTTATCATTCTTTTTTAAAAGAGATATACAAAAAAAGTAATTGTTTTTTTCAAACTTATTTGGTATAAGATAATGTAGATCTGAAAAAGGTTACGAATGTTTCTTTTTTGTACTAGATACAGTCTGTATATATAGCTGTTGTCAAAATTTGTTTAGGTTTGATAAATAACCACTTTAAATTTCCTTATGCACTTATATATTGCAGAACTTTTATATTTAACTTTACTACAATCTATAAATATACCAAAATATTTATGATTTAAGCTTCGTTGTTATTACATATTCCACCACGTCATATCTATATGTATATCTTCAAAGCTTAATTAATAAGGAGCAAAACAATAAAAAAAATACTCTTATTGCCTTCAGAAAGTTAAAATTTTTATAATAAAGTCTTAAAATTCTACTTTGATTTTTACTTTTTTTTATATTCAGTGTTTTCATTTGCTTTGCATATGTGTTCAGTATGTTTAGCTTTATTTATTTTGATTATTGAAAATGTCATAATTTAAACATACATTTAAGATGCAGGCTAAATCTTTTACCAAAATATTTTGAACAGAAGAAATTGTCTTGAAAAACTTTATTTATTAATAATTATATTAGGTATAATAAGGAAGCTAGCTTTATTGTTATCAACAAGTATTTTTTTTAATAATATTATATATCAAATTTTTAATGGGGAATACTCAAAATGTAAAATAGTTATAAAATATAGGAAAACACAAAGGGACTGAAAGCTTATAAGTCATTTAAAACATTGGTTCCAAAAGACACCAAAACCATGTATAGTATCTGTGCATTTTCTTGATATATACATCATCATGTACTCACTTGAACACTTTTATTAGTAATATCATCTACAACTGCAATATATAAACCATTTCATATTCATTGCTCGTTCATTTCATTCATTATACATACTATTCCATTTCTTATATAAAAATGTTTTCAAATACAAGACTGAAAGCAGTTAATAGTAATTGATATGAATTTTGTAGTGGTTAAAAGATTAAGAATTTTATAATATTATGCTAAGCTTTTAATTCATGTGCTTCTGACAGTGAAATATTTGACAGAATGTTAAATGTTGTGATATTTGTTTTAACAATGTTTTGTGAATGCTATGTTGGTTAACCAGACGATACTGTGGAATACAAATCAGATGCCGATGAGAGCTCTTCTGACTCAGAAAAATCTGCCAAAGGCGAGGAGTCGCTACTCTGGGATTATTTTGACACAGTCCCAAAATCTGCTTCAGGTGTGCTGTTGTTTTATATATTTTGTGGTCTTTGGATGTTGTTTTAGTTCTTACTTCACTTGTTGGTTTGTGTCTACCTTCTAACTGAGTAAATAATACAGCAGATGTTTTTTTCCTTGACCTTGAAAATGCACAGTTTAATCCAATCACAAGCTTTGACATATAAAACACAATGTAACACTGTACAATCAGTTAAGTCTTCTCTATTAACAAACAGATAGATAATATTCATTATACAAATCCATAGTACCGTACTAAACTTTACATGACATTGGGAAAGTCCAAACTATGTCTATTAAGAGTTTGTCTCTCTCCATTTTGTTTATTTTTATGTCAGATCTGTGTCTTTGAGTCAATTTTAATTTTCTTTGTTTATTTTTTTATTGTTAGTTTGTTTACTAGACTTTTTTTAGTAATAGCTTTTTTATAACTTTTTATTTTAATATATAAATGTGGCGTAGATATGATTTTAGTTGTATAGGATTTGTTTAAAATGACTGTCTGACATAAGGTAAATAGAGTTATCTCCCTTTTCAATACCATTACTCATAATCTCATTGGTTACTGGATATCATGGCAAGTAAAAAATAATTAGCACTGGAGAGGTTGCAAAACAGAATTTAAATAATAGTATGTTACAATGCAGGGCCATAATACATCATCTTCCAAAAACACAGTTTTTATTTTTGCACAAATGGGTCTCCATACTTTGAGAGGTCAGCTGTAGGATATATTTATTTTGAAATCAAAGCATGTTCCCTCATCCTTAAGATATTTATTGTCATGTTCTTCAGAGTTAAGGAGCCATTTAAGCCTAAATTAGAACTTGATAATTGAATTCAAGAGAAAAATGACATTTCTGGATTCTGGATAGGTTGGCTTCCCTTCTATCTTTGACCAACACAGTACAGAGGTCTCGAATTTCCAGACAAGGCACAACTAGTGACTTCCTTTTTTTACTTGAATATGCCTCAGGTAACGACAGCTTCTAGTTGCAGGTCCCGGTGAAGCAAAAAATTTGGAAAAATCCTGATTTTTGGTTGAAATGGCTTATTTAGACTGCCATACCAAGACAGTTTTTGTCAGACCTAAGCACTTTTGTGGGTCATGTTTTCCCTGGTCAGACTGCGGTAAGATACATTTATAAGCATCTCTTCAGTCTTGGTTGTGCAGGTCAAGAAATAGGATGAAAAATCGTTAAAATTGAAGCTTTTTGCAACAAATCACCAATTTTGGAGCTTTGTAATGAAAATCTAGATGCACTGGCTTAAAGCTGAGACTGTTAGTACTGAACCTGTATATTTGTACTTGATTAGTGGCCAATACAAATGTTTTGAGTTCCTGCTTTTACTTAGAATTCCTTACTTAGGCCTATTGGTAGATTATTTACAGCTTGCACTTTTATCACTTTTATCCATTGAGTTTATACACTCACAATACATAATAATGGTGAATAGTATATCATTATGGTTGCACAATCCAGCTACCCATTTAAAATATATTATTTCATTTTGATTATAACTATATTTATATTTTGTATGAATTATTAGAAATAGTTTGAATAGAATTACGTTTGATCTAAAGAAAAAAGTTTTATAAAATGGTTTACATTTTATTCGAATTATCTTTGATGAGGAATCAGTATGATATGAAGTTGTTTTTGGTCAATATTTTTCAAATATTAACTCTTTATAGCTCCAACTTGTTGAACAGAATCTTTGATATTTCAGATTTTGAAAGAAAGAGATATATTAGGAGATTATTGATTAAGAAAAGTTTTGATGAAAATGAATTGTGTATTTATTTTAGGATTCAAAGAGGATGATTCTGCATCAAACGACAGCAAGAATAGAACTCCACAACAGAATGGGGATGATCGTGATGCCAAAACTTTAATTGATCGCTTACGTCCAAAAAGTAGGTGAAATTATAAATATGAGACAAAAATCAAAGTGTCAGATATATTCTATATTCCAGGTGGAAGGTGAGGTCAAACAAACCCATAGAACCCCTCTGGCTACATGTATTTTCTATAAGATTTGTCTTGAAATAATTTTCAGTTGATTGTGTTTTTTTTTATTTTATGAATTTCTGTTTACCAAAACATGCATATATAGAGTTTTTTTTAAGGTTGAGCCAGAAAATATCTTCAGTAAACACGTAGTTTTACAGGACATCTGACGATGATCTGTTTGGTTGAGATACTTGAATCTGTCAGAACAGTAGTTATTCTGTTTTCAGTTATATCATAGTTTATCTAATGTCATGTTGCTATTGACAATGCTAATGTCATGTTGCTATTGACAATGCTAATGTCATGTTGCTATTGACAATGCTTGATATTATTGTTTGAACATCTTTGATTAAAATGGTTTTTGTCCCTTGCAGCGAAAATCGTAGTATGCAAGACATAGGTATTACAATCCATCAGTGGCAACAGCGTAAACTATTTGTTTAAAGCTTTATATTTCAGAAGGTAGAAGACCTGGATGCTTCATACCTTGCGTGCAGTAACCTTATTTTACGAAGTTTCTGTCTGTCATATGTCCATTGTTCCTGAACTAAATTTCATGGTTTAGTGACTGCTTGGAAAAAAAAATCAGTTTTTTATCCCCCCGCCGCAGCAGAGGGGACATTATATAAATAACACATAGCTGAGATGGTGATAGAACAGATTGTTACCCCAAGAAAACATTGTCAACTGAGGCGAAGCCAACGTTGACAATGTCTTTTTGAGAGGTAACAATCTGCTCTATCAACTTCTCAGATATGTGTTTTTTAATTTATTATACTGAATGTTCTGTTATTACTGTCGATTAATTTTCAAAATCAAAGTAATAAACTATGACGTTTTGTACATAACAATCATCCGTGTTCATTAAAGCAAACACTTGAGCAAGCGTCTCCGTGAGGGGTAATAGAGTATTTGCCATAGGATAGAGTAAATTGTCTCCCTCGTATTAACCACTCAAAATCTGGCATTGTCTTGTCTTGTCTTGTCTTGTGTGAAAATCATGCCTTTCAAAGGCACACCTCTGGTTATAGAGTAGAATGAATGGTGTATTTAACACCCACTAAAAGTTTATTACACTTTTAAAATCTAAAACAAAAGATAATTTAGATTTTGAATATTCACACCTTTGACTGAGAGGTTGCAAGCAACCCTTTCCTTTTATTCACCGGTAATGTTAATAATATTGTATTACGTCAAATGTGCAAAGCAAAGCAGAGTTTTCTACTGATGTATTCTACAACTTGAAGAAAGTCTGTACATCCACATTTGCATTGACAATTGCAGAGCAAGGCACTAGCATCCAATATTAGTTGTGTACTAGTTTCTAGTTTTTCTAATGTTCTACATTTCGTGCAGAGCTCAGATGAAGAGGGAGGCCTGTCACAAGATTTTTCATTGAACTTGCGTTACATTCCATGGTCGGACCTTGTTTCCATATCCATATCAGACCTTGTGCCAGACTTTGGTTGCATTTTCATGTAACAAGGTGGTGGTAAATTCCATGGATAAGTGTGACTATTGCATTTTGACATGAAGTATAATAATAAGGGTTACCCTTGTCTGTACATCCGTCCATACATCCCAAAATTAGTTTCCGTTCTCTAACTTTAGTTTGCCTCAACCAAATGTTATGAAACTTTAATAAGTAATGTTTATTACCACAAAACTCAGATCAAGTTTGAATTTGGATGGCGTCACTTTTACCGTTCTTGAGTTATGTCATAATGTTATATGCAAGCATGGCATCATCTGTGTCCCATGGACACATTCTCCATTTATTTGTTAAGTGAAATACTTATTATGAGTAATATTATAACTATATTTGGTAAATGGGTTCCTTACAATGTCTACATGTCTGTCAGGTAGAGTTCACCTGACCACGACCTCATTCCATGGATCAGTGATCAAGGTTAAAGTTACTTGGTTTGTAACTGTATCTCAGATACTATAAACAATAGGTCAGCTATATTTGGTGTATGGAATGATTGTGAGGTGTACAAGTTAGACTGTCAGGTTTCATCTTACCTTGACCTCAATTTTATGGTTCATTTGACAATGCTTAGTTTTTGCTGTTTGGTCTATTTCTCAGATACTATAGGCAATAGGGCATCTATATTTGGTGTATGGAATAATTGTAAGGTGTACATTTCCGTCTGGCAGATTTTATCTAACCTTGACCTCATTTTCATGGTTCATTGGTCAATGATAAGTTTTCATAATTTTGTCATATACTAGGTGTATGGAATAATTGTAAGGTGTACATGTCTATCTGGCAGGGTTCATATGACCTTGACCTCATTTTCATGGTTCATTGGTCAATGTTAAGATTCTGTGGTTTGATCTGTTTCTCAGGTACTATTAGTGATAGGACCATGATATTTGGTGTATGGAATGATTGTACAGTGTACATGTCTGTCTGGCATGGTTCATCTGACTGTGACCTCATTTTCATTTAATATTAATAATGTAAAGTTTATGTGATACTTTTAGTAAAACCTTCATATTACAGACTTTCAACATGAATTGAATAATAAGTAAAACAGGTGAGACATTTCAGCGTGTGTACTCTTGTTTTGTTGTTGTATTAAAAAAATATGTTTTCCTTCCATTGTAGGTCCAGACTCTGTTATAGAAGCTAATGTAAAATCTATTTTATCCAAAAAGCGTGAAAATGGCACTTTACTTCCCAACCAATCACAGCGTCCTGTGTTCATCCAAAAACTGTATGCTAAAGCATATAAAACTGTGTATTCTATCCTTACAGGGTCTAATTCCTCACCACCTGTTTATAACAAACAAAAACCTACTAACAATCACCACTTGTCACCTTACAATTCACTGCGTAAACCAATCTATGTCAGCGATGCAGAGTCTGTCAGGACAGAAGACTTTGAGTTCCGGTTTAAAGATTTGATTGTGAATCAGATGGACAGTGAAACAGATGTTACAGATAACGATCCTTTACATGCCAAAGTCAAGGAGATACTACAGGTCACACTTCCTTGTAAGTTTAAATTCAAATTTCGGAATTTTGATATAGTATTAAATTTATTTTTTAGAATGAGTACAAATGTAATACATGTATAGGTCAATTTATAGAGCTAGACTTAGGCCTCAAGACCTTACTCCTTCCTCAATTTCTATAAATCTCTATTCATAACTTACAAAAATGAAATCAATATTTTTTTCTTGTGAGCTAGATAAGCCTTAAATTGAAACTTTGAATGAAAAGAATATATGTATATGTCTATGCGTTGTTTTATCTTTACATGATGTCTACATATAATCAGCAAGAATTTATGTTTCTTAAACAATACTGTCCGAAACATAACCATCTAAATGGAAATATATTAACCATTAAATTTTAAATACTAACAGCAATGATCCTACAAGGGCATATCTCTATCTTTGGTAAGTTTTTGGTTGAATTATCTCCTTTTGAAGAGGATAACAATCACAAATTATCTCCCTTTAAGGAGAATAACAATCACATCTTTAAATGTGTGGGCACTTGTGTGTGGTGTATTTGTAAATTATTCAGTAAACTCTGCTTCTGTAATGGTAGTTGGAATTTTGGGTTATTTATACCCTATTTTGTTGTCAAAGAATAAAATTCCTTAAAAATAAAATGATATACAATTATTAAGACATATTATATTGGCTGTAAAAAGTTTGTGGCTTGCTAGACAACTTCTTTTTGTACGATACAAATCTTGGTCAGTATGTTTTTATCTTTGCACCTTTTTTTGCTTTTATCAGACTTTTTAGCAATGGTGGGTTGAATAATTTCAGTTAGAGGGGACACACAATGTGAGAACTGTTTTGTAACTTCTTGCAGCAATAAATGAAAAATCACAATTATTGAAAATAAATGCAGACTTAGGGTCACATGCTGCAACTGTTTTTCCTTAATATTTCGTTGTGGAGGATTTCTATGCAAACATTTTTTTATCATTGTAAGATGTGATGAGAGATCAGATCTTTTTATGCAAGGACATTTTAATTTTTGCACACAAAATGGTAGATGTCTTGTGGTCTCTAATGCAAAAATTGTAATGTTTTCATTGTTATTTATCCAAATATGTAAATTTATGCATTTAGTTTAAATTTGAGAGAAAAATATAAATTAATAAAACACTTTCTAAGATTTTTAAAAGGAGTTGAAACATTACAAAAATTGGTAAACATATACATGTACAATGATAAACAGGTTTAATGTGTCATGTTTGAATAGTGAAATGTACGAACAGAGAAGGTACAGTTTTTGATTTTTCAGATCGTAAGAATGAACGAGAGAGAAGTCAATCAGAGAATGATGTGAGACTGAGAGACAGAAGAAAAGAAATGATAAATGGTGAAGCCCAATCCTCGCCAAGAGACCATAACAACAGGTAGGTGTATAAAGGAAGAACACCCTACTATATCCCCTTTGTGGACCTCTCAAGTACATGTTGTATTATTTGAAGTTATGATGCTCTGTTGTCATCCCTTTATGAGGGCCTTTTCACAAAACTGAATTATTGGGTACACTTGAGTTTTTATCCTAGTACAAGAACCTTAGTTGTCAATATAACAACGCAATCATTCCTTTTATTAGGACCTTTCATGGAAGTTCTGAACTATTTGATGGCAGAGTTCTCAAAAATCCAAGTATATTACTACAAGAGCTCTGTTGACATCCCGATAGTTTGTAATTATTTCTCCTTGAAGCAGATTATATCTGCGAAAATAAAAAGTCACATCTGAACAGTTTTATCTGCCAATCGTTTAGTAAAACTTTCTACAATGGAAGCATAAAGATTTAACATTACCCGTATAAAGTTTTTATTTAGTGCTGTTCCATATGATGAGCACATCCCAACGAGTAGATAGATAAACTCCCCATGTTTTCTTTGAAATGAATTAAGCTACACATGGTATATTTGAAATACCAAATTCAATGTGGTAAATTCAATTTAAAAAACAAACTCTAATTGAATGAATGTAAGAAGTCAATTGTCAACCACCTTTTAGAGATTAAAAAAAAAAATCACACTTTTAAATTAACTTTTTTCACCTTTAAAACAGAATTTCTTGTATCCGGTCAGTATAATTTGAATTATACCTATAGCTATTTAAAGAGCTTATAGATATTGGTATAAATATTTCTCAGATGAAATGACTTGCTTCATATGACACCACTTTACATTTTCCTTTTGCACCAAAGCTTTATTTTGGTTTCAACACCTGAAATTTTTATGCTGTTCATAAGATGGAAACAGAATTGACCAGGGGGCAAAGAATTAATTTAGCTCATGAATGTGTTTGAATGTAACCTTCTATAGAGTGTATACCTGTATATATTTATTCCTAGTCATTAGGAATTTTCATAGTAGAGAAATGCCACTTTACTTTTGATAACAAAACTTTGGTTAACTGACCTTGTATTAACATACATATAAAAACATAATTTTGGTTAACTGTCCTTGTATGTAACATAACATGAAATTTGGTGTTAATTTGTGAAACACAGTATTTTGCATTTAAAAAATGCTGTAACATTAACAATTTTTGACAATTGTAATAATATGTTTTATAAGTCTACAATTAGTATCTATGGAATTTGATGTCTATGCATTGTATGTTTCCATGTTATTTGTTCTTAAGAGAGGTTTTTCACTATTGATTTTTTATGGTCACAAGGACAATTGTAGATCATATATATTTGTAATCATTATCTGCTATACAGATATTTTAACATGAGAATGCGTTGAGTGTGAAAAATATCATAGTTAGATGTACATTTGTGTAAATAGGTTTTTGAGGCCAAAAAGGTAATTTTATTGTCTAAAGCCACTCAATTTATCAATTTTATCCATGAAAAAATGATAATTAAAACCTTTTAAGACAAAATTGATAAGGATCTGCACTTTTATTTTAGCAAAATATGATATATATAAATATGATATGCTTTCTGACATGCAATTCCCTAAAAGATTATCTTAGAAGCTATTAACAATTAGCGATGGATTAAGATAATCCCAGGTGTATGGTTAATCACATGTGTTGTTATAGTCAATGATTTAAAGTTGAATCACATTGTTATAATAATATTTCCCCTAATGAGCGGGGGAAGTGCCAGTACTACGACCTTAAGTGGGGGTAAATCGGATGACGATACCCTAGAGGATGAGGTTTTTGACATTTTCTGTGAAGATTATGAGACAAAAATTCCTATAGATATGCAGATCCGTTTTGAAGAATATACTGCAGATGGAAAAGTCATTTGTTTTGAAGAAAAGACTGAGAATATAGAGGCCTGGATCTCTAAAAATAACTCGATTAAAGACACCCAATCAAGATATAGGTAAGTTTTATATGTAGATTAGAGACAAAAGCTTTGTCATAGCATTTGTTAAAAAAGTAGTTCAGTTTTGTCTTGCATGCCATGAAAGTCATTGAAGTGACATGCATGCTGTTTCTGTCATCAGCAGTGATTGTTTGTGATTAGATTTCACAGGTAAGACATATCTGTGTCAACAATTTATTTTCCAAACTCTAATTTTGTATACTGTAAATTCAGAAATTATTGTGTGCATTTATTATTGCTTCATGCAGATAAAAAAAATCCCAAATGCGAGTTTAAATTATTGCAATTACTAACCTATCACATTTTTCGCAATAATAAAAACATCGCAGTAATTTCCGAATTTACAGTAGTTAAGATAGCCCAACAAATGATATAGCTAAAGCCCTCTCAGCCTTTATAGGTGCTATGCCTGTGTAAAATTGTTGTTGGTCTTTAAAAATAATCATTGTTTTTACGCTAAAATGTTTTAGGTTGTTTTTTTGCGGTAATGGTTTGTTTGCAAATAAACATTTATTATCTGTTATCTTTGAGTTATCTGGTAGTTTAGATAGATTTATAAAGAGTGTGACTGATCTCATGAGGTGATAAAGAATCAAGATTATAACCAAAAAATAAAAACCAACAATTTGAGGTCTAATAATAAGGTTTATAAGAACATTGTGGGTACAACATATTTCGTTTTGTCATTTTTTGTAAAAAGAATGTTAAATTTTGATTTTGATTTGAACTAAACAGTAGTTCTAAAGTTCTACATTCCTTCATTGAAATGAAATGTTCATTTTGAATCTCATAAAAAAAACTCAAAAAATTGTATTTTTTCTCCAAGTATACTTTGATTTTACACTAGTAATTTTTGGGGCTCTTTATAGCTTGCTGTTCGGTGAGCCAATGCTCCGTGTTGAAGGCCGTACTTTGACCTATAATAGTTTACTTTTATAAATTTTTACTTGGATGGAGAGTTCTCTCATTGGCACTAATACCACATCTTCCTATATCTATTTCATATTTGTAAATACAAAATGTAAAGGTCTTTTACCTGAACTTCCAAATGTTTCCATGGACATATATATTGTTAACCAATTTTGCAGATACTTTTTTGGCATTAAGCCCATTTTAGTTAGCATTGCATTGATGATTCAGTTTTCGCAATTTTCAACATTGTTGATGTATTCAAATGAGAGGGAATCCATGTTTTACATATGAGCAACAATTTATACATTTAATTTATTTTTCCTTTAAAATCATTTGCAAAAGTTTGTTGGTTGAAAGTATTTCATCTCCCATATACCATTATTTGAAATTTTTTTTATAAATCTTTGGAAACAAAGGATTCAAGCTTTGAGACTTCCAATCTCTTATTCTTGTTGTATTCTTTGATTGCAAGTAGAAACTGCATTTTATTACTGGAAAGAATAAAGAATGAAGATATAGTCCTCACTAGATTTAAAAATATTTCAATGTCGTTGATTTATTTAATTTCATTTGATCTTTTTATAAATCTGCTGAATTTTTTTCCCTGAAATCAATAAACTTTCCAAATAAGATTTACTAAAATATCAGGAGAGATTAAAGAAAAACTTTTGATGTAGAGGTTTGAATTCCAAGGTTGTAAAAAAATAAAAGTATTGTTTTAGAGCTTCAAATTTGATTATTAGAAGTATGTCTTAAGTATCAAGTCACGTAAGTACTTTAGATTGATTTTAACTTTAGTCAGACATGTTTTGGTGAATTTAACCTTTTTTAGGCAATTTCAAATCAAGTATTCTAAAACTTGAAAATATCATATAAACCAATAGGGTTATGTGTGTGAGTTTTGGCTTTCAGTAGGGATGTCTTAACAATTCTTGTCATCATTAGATAAAAATTAGAAATTTAAAGATGAAAATTAATTAAAGAATAAATGTTCATGTATTAAACAAATTGCCAAGGATTTTGTTTCATGGTGCTTCCCATGACTTGTGTATATAAATAATGTTACCTGGACTTCTCCTTGTCTGACAGTTAAACCTAAGTTGATAGAGTGTCCATTTTGTCTGTTTTACATGTATAAATATGTGTGACTGGACTTCTCCTTATCTGACAGTTAGATCTAAGCTGATAGAGTGTCCATTTTGTCTGTTTTACATGTATAAATATGTGTGACTGGACTTCTCCTTGTCTGACAGTTAGACCTAAGCTGATAGAGTGTCCATTTTGGCTGTTTTACATGTATAAATATGTGTGACTGGACTTCTCCTTGTCTGACAGTAAGACATAAGCTGATAGAGTGTCCATTTTGGCTGTTTTACATGTATAAATATGTGTGACTGGAATGATACATTAACTCTGCTGCCCTGTATTTGTAGAGTGCCATCCTAAATGCATGATAACAAATTCTTGCAGCAGCACTTTGATGGGTTAATAGCTGTAGAAGGTGGCATGTAGCAAGGCAATCTATCTACCCTATCTTATTTTCTGTCTTTCCACCCTATATTCAAGTGAAAACACTTCATAACCTACCTATTTGATGTATAGTTTTAAGTTGGCCAATATGGCAAAAACTGACATCAAATGGAGTTATCTGCCTTGATGTATCACATTATTTGATGCTTGCTAATGATTTTTTTATGAGGATCATATAAAGTTAAGTGCCACTGTGGTCTCAGTAAAAGCAAATGCTGGTATGCTCTGAGTCCAAATAATGTCTCTGAGTAGAGTGATATGTCTTCCTAGAGAATGTTATCTTGTAAGCAAGGAATTTAGAAATCTAACTCAGTGATTATCACATTCAATTCTTATTAGTGATTAGACATATTTTGTCTTACAATAACCTAGATTCTCCCCAAAGGTGAATAATTCAATTTTATTGATTGTTCTTCAAACGAGAGGGAGTTTCTTGTTTACAATCTCATGGATGGGAGATAGCCTTGCGATGAGATGCAGCCGAAAAACATCAATAAGTTGGAAAAGACTATTAATAATCTGTTTATGGCTATTTTCATAGACAACATCGTTGACATTGGCTTATTATGTCATTAGTGTTCTTTCTTCACAATTGAGAAA